GCCCCCAGACTTGGGGAAGCGCCCCAAGTGCCTGTATTGGGTCGAGTACCCGTAGGACTATTAGGCCTGTTTCCCTGAGGATACAGGGCCGAGACAGTCCACTCTCGGGGTGGTGGCGGCACATTACCCCCAGACTAGCGAGTGTGCTCCAGAAGAGGGGTCGGCCAGACATAAGGCACCCCTAGGGAGGCATTTGGAGCCTGGAAGGTAGGCAGCTCAACGCAGAAGCGCCCCCTATTGGCCAGCCTCACGTGGTGGAAATAGCAGTGGGACACGAATACCCAGCTGTTTTCCTGAGGTGGGATCTCTGCACCCGCCACAGCCATCACCAACACACTTTGATTGTAAAGCTTAACCAATCTCCCCCCAAAGCACTTGTCTTACCCTCTTAGCAAAAGCTTTTTGGCTTTGTGTTCAAGGACCAACAAAAGATTTTTCTAAGCCAAAAGGAGAGGAACCTATAAAGCCTCTTAAGTGTTCTGGGGGGGTTTTGGGGGGGGTTTTTGTTGTTGTTTTTTTAAAGGTGGGGGTTGGTGGAAAACAGCCAATACTCTGCTGTCAGCACTTCTACTAATTCTTCAACTTAAAGTACAGAAAACATTTCCAGCCAACCTGAAATTCTCCCATCTTCAAACAGCAGCAAGTCCTCAGACCTTAACACAGGTCATTATCAAGTGCACATCACAAAAGCTGAGCTGTCAGTCCAAAGCTCTCCCTTTGAAGTGCATTGCCAGCTAGAATAACTTCTGCATTAGCAAGATGATAGCTCATTTAGCCTTTAAGATGCGATATCTTTTATTAGAAAAAAGTAGCTAGAAAAAAGTTCTTAGCAACTTTTCAGTGATTGCACCCAAAAGCTTTCCTAAATTCTAGTGAGGAAAAAATCCCATAGTCCTATAGATACTTTTCAGTGCCCATCAATTTGAGTCCTCTATTTTTTGTACTCCTCCAGTTAAACATGCAGTAAGCTCCTTCTGAAGTCCACATCTAGTCAGGCTTTAGTCTAATGCATAATATTTAGCGAGCGTGGAGGGGGCTGCTCCTCATCTCACCATGTAATGTAGAGGTTTTCTTGGGCCAAGCATCTTCACTGGCCTTAAAAAATAAAGTATGTCAATGGAGGAGCTCTACTCCTGGCTTTGCATGTCTCCAGAATACCTCATTTCATCTAGCTAGACATTAATGACACTGAAGTTCTTTTATCCCCATAGGGAGGGATTACACAAAAGAATCATGCTCTAGATCTGCTGCATCTTCTGGCGTGGTCTATGCATACTGAGACTACCTTAGGGCATGGCACACACTAACCTACAGATAAGAGCTTGCTCTCCTGGCACCATCTTGTGTATGCAGTAGTAGAGTTTAGTGGATAATCCTTCAAAATTAGACAGCAAATCCTGGAAAATTAGACCCTGAGGTTATGAACACATGAAAGCCGCATTCATTAGCTGGAAGCAGAGCATTCTCTCTCCGATTATAATGACTTTGGCATAATTGTGAGGGGATACAAGACAAGGATGAAGCCCTGTAGATCAGAGAGAGCTGATCAAGCAATGTTTTCCTGGGAAACCAGTTCATCTCTAGATGCAGGGTCATCTTTAAGGCGGTCTCTCCCTGCTCCCAGAGTGCTGGATAGAGCTGACTTGGAGTGCTGTAGCCTTGGTTTCTTGGAGACCAAGGTCTGTTGTAGCGCATCTAATTTCTGCCTCCCCATCTGCCACTAAGACAATAGCAGATGGGTAAGAAAACGGGAATCTCCAAGTTTAACAAACTCACTCGGGGTGAACTTGGCCATTGCCTCTGAAGCTGCAAGCCAATGCTAAATACTTACCCAAGTAAAAAGGTTAAATACTGTACTTTTCGGTAACGTTCTCTAGGCCACTAATAGCTGCATTTCAGCATGCTCCCTTCCGGATGATAGCAGATACATTTGCACTAATAAATGATTGTTTCCTTTCCTCAGAGCCCCCTGACCCCCCAGCCCATGTTCCCAGGAGACAGAAATACGATCGAGACAGTTAAACGCTTCCTTTGCCATCAGGAACAAAATGCGAGAAGGTATTTCACCACTCGTTTCAAGGAGTTAGTGAGGAAACAAACAGGAGCTGCCTTTTCAATTAACGCGTTCAGATTTGAAGTGGGCTGAGTAAACATTATTCCTGCACTTGCTAATGACATGATGCTTAACCCCTGCCATCTTCATTAGTGCTCCCTCCGGACCTGCTGCAGTTTCACAGCAGATTTCATCACCAAGGACAGCAACTGCTTATTTCGGGACGGACTCCTGCATTTGCAAAGACAGCTCTGTTGCCAGTTGAAACCATCCATTTTCCAGGAGGTGCCATTAAGACAGACATGAAAGTGTCTCTAACTGCCTAAGGAGCTAGGGATCGCAGAGACTTCTTCAGTCGTCTAATCCATCATCCTGCCAACACAAAGCTATTCCTCACCATGTGGTTGATTAGAGTTCTGCCAGCCTAGCTCTAACTATGCCAAGAATCGGGGCTGCCACACTTTCTCCAAAACTGCTGACAGCTCGATAAACCACATCACTGGGATACTTCTCCTAAATTTAGCCTAAAATACTCTAGCTTCATCTCATTTCTCCAGTTTGCTGTTCTAAGTCATTCCTTTCCCTTAATACTTGTGCCTTTCCACTATATGCAGACTTAACAAGCCCCGTGTACCCTGAAGCACACCCCTAAATTCACCAAGCAGGCCTCTCCAAAAGGGCATTTTCACCTTATTCTGAAGCAGGCTGGACATAACGGACACAGACCTAGTCCTGAACACAAGGGGGGCTGGTAAATTAAAATATAATCAAACCATTAATAAGTCCATACTATTCCTCAAGAGGAGACATTCCTACCTTTTTTCTATACACTTCTGCCCAATTTCAGGTTTACAGGGGTGGGGGTGGGAGTAGTACAGCACAAAAAACACTCAGTGAACCAAGCTGAAGTATTTAGAGTCACCATCACACCCCAGCACCAGCGGGGTCAAAAGGATGAGCCCTGTCCCTCCTTCTGGCTCTGCTGCCTTGAGGTGATCCAGTAGCAGGAGAAAAAAGAATGAGAAAAGTGATCATGAGAGGAAGGTACCAAGCAGAGAGTAAGAAGCTGGCTGAGCAGCACACAACACTGCACTCTCTCTATAGCAACACAGGGTATTACATCCACAAGCCTGCCCACTGCCTCCTACCCTGGCTTCCCACAGGATGTCAGTCAAACTTTAGGATACTCTAGGGGCTAAAATATATAGCTCCAGGTTAAAACTGGGGTCAATTAATTCCCTTGGCACAGTGCTACTCTCTAACCCGAAAGAATGAACTCACCACCTAACAAACCCTAACCTTGCCCCTCTATACTTCAGTTTGTCTATTAAAAAAATCCAGACCAAAAACATGCACACTCAAAACCACCAACCAATGCTTCATAACACAGATCTCTCTCACTGGTGAGTGGATGAGAATAATCAATCATGTTAGAGATGCCAATTATGTTATGTATGTTAGCATGTTAGAGATGCTAATTATGTCATGCATTAACAAACGATGATTAGATACCATGACAATGGGTACAGTATTGCAAGAGATACTGAACACAATAGAAACAGATATGTGGCAGGGAGTCAGAATGTGCATGCAGGAATCTAGCAATGCAGCTAGGAACAGATGTTGCATTTATCCCTGGGTAAGTTGTGCCTGTTTGTCCCAAAACAAAGATATCCCAGGGTTGGCATGTACACACATCACCCTTCTAACTGGGGCTTAGTGAGCAGTTGAATACAGTGCCACTTTTCTGCCATCGATTCAATGATGAAATCCTAGGATAACTGTACAGACATACATTGCAATATTCCAGGATAAAGCAATTATTACCTCTTATCCAGGAAACTTTCTTAGGATTTATCCCAGGAAAAACTGGGATGGCATCTATACTACTTCACTTTGTCCTGGGAGGGGGGGGGGGATGGTTTATCCTGGGATAAATGTGATACCCATTTGCAGCCTAAGGCTAAAAACAGTAGTTGGATTCTTCCCAGGACAAAGTCTTTTACTTTGGGTACCTACAGACCGTACAAGCACATTGTGCCATCTGAAGTACCTGTAAAATACCAAGACAACCTCTTCCCACCCCAGCAACTGGGACTAATTTAAGGGAATTTCCATTCAAATTGCATGTGTAAATGACTGTCCCCTGAACCTGTTCTGATGCATGTCAAATCTTGGGGCAATCAGACTGGGGATAAACCAAACATCTTTTTTTAGCCTAAGGGTCAGAAAAAACACACTGTGCACGCACACACACATATATTGCACATTGACTACCCGCATACCTCTTGGACTTCAAGGGAGAAACACAACCAGAGAATTTGGCCCTGATCTGTGGAGCATTCTTAGCATAGTAGGATTTAAACCTGAACCAATACAGAACCAGGTATTTAATGACCTTTATGATCAGTCTGAACCAGAGATGTTCATTCACCGTCAGCCAAATGTATGCAAAAGGGCAAAAAAAGCTCTGATGTTACACAGACTTTTTTCTTCTTTCAACTTAAACACCCATGAAGGACATCAGATTGCCATCCCCAATACACGAGTGCCAAAGAAAGAAACCCTGACCTGGCAGAACCACTGGTTCTGGTTCATTTTGAGGCTGCCAACAAGATGTTGACAATAGCTCACAAGAGTCTACGCAAGAAGTATCCGTTCCGTTATGAAGTCCACTAATCAGCTTTCGTCAGATAAAAGCCAAAAAAGGCTGAATGCAAACTGGTGAGCTAGGTGAGAAGTGCTCTTTGCCCCATTAGCAATCCCCCAAGATATCTAGTCTCCTGGTTTCCACTTTATACAGTTACCTCTTCATCCTCCTCCTCATCTTCAACATCCAGGATACCCGAATCCTGCTCAGACATGGGGCTAGTGTTTTTTACCTCCAAATCTGAGCCTGCACAGACTTCTTTCTTGGATTTCTTTCCACCACCTATCCTGGGATGCTGAGACACAATGTTATCCAGGTTTCTTTGCTGCTGAGCCTAGAACCAAAGCAGATTAAAAGTTTTATGTTAGTTTCTACATATTTATGACTTGGGGACAAGAGATATTAACTATTCAGAAACTACTATAAAAAGGGAGAAATTATGGCACACTTTCAACTCTGCAAAGCTATTTCACATGTTTATTAACCTAGATATTCCAAAGAACCAAAAGACTCGTTTGAAAACCATTTGAGAAATTATACAGTACAACTAAAAGTATATCACGACTCCTTACAAATCGAAATACCATCATCATCAGGCTGCCACACTGATCTATTTACAACACACATGCACGGTATCTTTGACTATAGGCCATATGGTGACTGTCACAAGATTAATTTAAAGGACCTATTAACTCTTGGATATGTTCCTCTTTCCAACCCATGTCAGCACAAAGCCTTCCACATCTGGAATCCAGAGATTCCTGAAAGCATTTTTGTGGTATCCTGGGAGAGCTTAGTTGTACCGTGCTGATCTGTGTGACCTACTGAAAAAGGTACTTTGTCAAAACTCTTGCACTGGTATTATCACCATGATTCAGGGACTGGAACAGGTAACGCAACAGAAATGTCATCACACAAAATTACTGTATGGGCCTCTGGTCTTGATCTTTGTTTCTAGGGGGGATTAGTAGAATTGCTCTGTTGCAAAAACTAAAATTGGATTTTATTATTAAAAACGTGACCGACAGACGGGAGAATTGCCTAGATTCAAAATGCCACTGTGCATCTTCAAACTGAAGTGCAAACCTGGAAATGTATGCAGATGCTATTGTCCTAACCACAAATGCAACCCAAGGCAAACAGGACAGGCTTATTCTGAAGTAGAACCAGTGCTACGCACAGGATAAGATTCATTTGGACTACATCATGTTTTATATTTGTCAGTGATGCTGAGGAAAGAAAGAAAAGAGCTTGAAAACTCCCATCTGAAGGGGTAAACTCATGAATGTATTTGGAGAGCGAGTGGGGGGAGCTGACGAAAAGAAATGTTTGCAAGCATGCTTTCTCCTGCTCTGTTTGCAATCTAGAAACTGTGATATTGCACTACCATAGACAAAACCTGGAAGGGATGGGAACTAGAAACCCAAAATTTTTCATTGCCCAAATTGAGGAGCAAACAAAATATTTAAACAGTGAAAGGAAATCAGAGGTCCACCTCTCCTTTTGTTGTTTTAAACTTCCAAACATATATGTCACATCAAGGTTGACAGCCGCTCTTTTAATATCAATTCCTTAACATTTGTACAACACTTTGCCAAAAGCAGGGTAATCTATCCAGATTACAGCTACAAAGGAGCTGTAAAGCTGAGCTACTAACATGATACGTTAACATGCATTTGATGCGCAAAACACCCCAGGACCTCTTATGCCATAAAACCAGTTGTGTTCAACGTATTCATCTTTAATTAAGAAATATTACATTCAGATCAAAGATCTTTAAAAGGAAAAGATTAAGGCAATAATGACCAGCGTCCGCTGTAAAATAGACTGATGGAGATGAACATGAATCAGTATGAACGGTAAAGGCCAATGAAGCTACTTATTGTACTGTCACAGCACAATCTTGACCTCTAGTGGTTGGAAAGCAGTAGAAATAAGAGTAACTGTGTCTTTAAATGACGAGAAGGGGGAAAATAAGGGCTAAGCAACAGAATTAGCAAAAAGATCCCCTCCTAAATCCTCCTCTCAGCAACAGGGATTTAGGACAGAGTCCCAAGAAAAGGTCAGTCTACCTGCATTGCGGAAGAGAAGTCTTGCTAACACCTGCCATACTTTAAACTAGGAAACCTAGTGGTATACCCTAGATTAGAGTCCAGGAGCTCAACTCCATAGAAACCTGTTGCAACATCATAAAAAGGAGAATGATGAGTTAAAAAATAGCAATAAGTACTTGCTCATTTTGCAACCCAGAGATCTTGGGCTTGATTCTGCTCTCAGCTACACCCGTTTACATCATCGACTACTCAAGTGAAGCAAAATGAGGCTGTAACAGTGAATCCATTGTAAGCCATACCAAAACAAGCCAGTGTTTCCCTGAAATCTCTTTAGCTTATATAATCATGTTTCCACTTGCCCTTTTTAAAGAGAGAATAAGCAGAATTGTCTTTCAGTGGACTCTCTTGCAAAGTTTTCCACAAAACAGTCTTTAAACGGATCATTAAACAGGTTGTACAAAGAGAACGTCTAGAAAAAGTAAATGAAAGCAGTCATGGGAGAGCAGAGCCTGACTCGGTGCAGCGAGGATGCTGCAGCTTAATCTGGTCTTTCACTGCCCAAGCTCGAAATATAACAGCCTCAGCAAATCACGCTGGAATACAGAGTTAAAGGAGGAGAAGAGAAGAGCCCTTAAATATGCTCAAAACATCAGAGCAGAGGTAAGGTTGTGCTCCTTCCGGTGTGTAGATTAACACCTTGCTTTTGTTTGGAGGCAATACGCTCACCAATTCAGTTTACTCTTACATACACAGTATTAATAGCAGTACCAAATAGGTTTTGAACAATTGAAAAGATCAGAACCAAACCCCCCCCCCCCCCCCCCCCC